TATAACAAATCTGGGCTGGGGATGTGGCTCAAGTGGTAGCGCGCTCGCTTGGCATGCGTGCGGCCCGGGTTCGATCCTCAGTACCACATACCAACAAAGATGTTGTGTCCGCCGAGAACTAAAATAAATAAATAAATATTAAAAATTCTCTCTCTCTCTCTCTCTCCTCTCTCTCTTTAAAAAAAAATATAACAAATCTTATATAGGATCTGCATACTAAAATCTACAAAACACTAATGAAAGAAACCAAAGAAGACCCAAATAAATGGCAAGACATACCATGTTCATGAGCGAGAAAACTCAAATAGTTTTCAGTTAGTTGGGCACAAAGGTGTACACCTGTATTCCCAACTACTTGGAAGGTTGAGGCCGGAGAATGGCTTGAACCTATGAGTTTGACAGTAGCCCAGAAAATATTGTGAAACTCCATCTCAAAAAAAAAGAGAGATTAATTCTCTCCAAATTGACATGAAGATCTAATTAGATCCCAATTAAAATTCTAGCAAGGTTTTTTATAAGTATGGACAAACCTATTCTAAAATGTATATGGAAAAGCAAAAGAACTAGAGTAGTCAAAACAATTCTAAAGAAGAAAAACAAGGGCTAGGGTTGTGGCTCATTGCCTAGCACATGTGAGGCACTGGGTTTGATCCCCAGAACCGCATAAAAATAAATTTAAAAATAAACAAAATAAAGGTATTAAAAATGACACTGTGTTAAAAAAAAAAAGAAAAGAAAAACAACTGTGGAGCCAACCTAGATGCCCTTTAGTAGATGTTTGGATAAAAACATGTGGCATATATATACACACTGGAATTTTACTCAGCAATAAAAAGAAAATAAAATCATGACATTTGCAGGTAAATGGATGCAGTTGGAGAAGATAATGCAAAGTGAAGTTAGCCAATCCCCAAAAAAACAAATGTCAAATGTTTTCTCTAATATAAGGAGGCTGACTCATACTGGGGTATGGAGGAGGAGCATGGGAGGAATAGACATATTCTAGATGGGGCAGAGGGATGGGAGGGAAAAGAAGGGAGCAGAGGATTAGCAAGGATGGTGGTACATGGATGAAGACACAAATTGGTGTCAATTCGTCAATTGTATACTTTATATCCAACCAGAGATATAAAAAATTGTACTGTATATGTGTAATAAGAATTGTAATGAATTCCACTGTCATTTATTTTTTTTAAAAAAAAATCAATTAAAGAAAAACAAAACCAGAGAACTCAAAACTATTCAATTTAGACATATTATAAAGCTACAGGACTCAGAACAGTGTGACATTGGCAAAAGTTTAGGCCCATAAACTAATGGAACAGAATAAAATACAGAAATAGACCCACATAAAGAAGGTCAATTGGTTTTTACACAAATGTGTAATGTCAGTTCATTTGAGAATATACAATCATTTCAAAAGATGGTATTGGAAAAACTGGACATCCTCACACAAAATACACCTCAACATATACAGAAATTAATGCAAAATGGATCATGAACCTAAATAGAAGTGTAAAACTAAACTCTCAGAAGAAAACAGGAGAAAATCTTCTTCACTTTGAGTTAGGCAAAAAGGATTTAGGTGTGAGAATAAAAGAAAAAAATTACAAATTGGATTTCAATAAAATTAAAAACATTTGTTGTTTGAAAAACACTAGTAAGGAAATAAAAAGATAAGTCATTAACTGGAAGAAAATATTTGCAAAAGACATATATGATAAAAACACTATATCCATAATATGTTAAGTGCTCTAAAACTCATTACATATAAATAAGAAAATCCAACATAATAAAAATGCACAAAGTGTTTAAATGCACATTTCATCAGAGAAGATATACAAATGGCAAATAAGCACAAGAAAAGATGCTCAACATCATTGGCTATTATGAAATGCAAATTAAAACCATAAGAAAATTCTATTACACCCTTACCAGAATGAGAAAAAAATTTTAAATATTGCAATAATACCAATGCTAATAGGGATGCAGAAAAATTCAATCTCATGCATTACTATTGGGAATGCAAAATTGTGAAGTTATTCTGAAAATCAATTTGGCAGTTTCTTGTAAAATTAAACACTATATGACTCAGTAATCCTATTACTAATTATTTCCCCTAAAGAAGTGAAACTGTATATTTACAGAAAAGTTTGCATATGAATATTGATAGCAGCTATACTCACAAAAGTCTAAAGCTGGAAAACAAGTCTTTTTGAGTGGGTAAACAAACTATACTACTCAGCAATAAAAAGGAATGAACTATTAATGCTTGCAACAACATAGATGAATCCCAAATGCATTATGCTAAGTGAAAAAAAACTCAGTCTCAAAAGGCTACAATAATGCATGATTCCATTCATATGACATTTTGGAAAAGGCAAAAATATAGGGAGAGAAAACACGTCAGTGGTTGCCAGGGTTAGGAGTGAGGGGAGGCTCTGCATTCTGTGATGACAGTTACAAGATTCTATGCATGTGTAAAAGTTCACAGAATTGTAGACCAAACAAAAGTTAATTTTACTGCATTTAAAATTTAAAATTAAAAAATTAAATCAGGATGGGTGGTATAGCTCAGTGCTAGAGCATTTGCCTGACATGAAAGAGGCCCTAGGTTTGATCCCAGCACTGAAAAAAAGAAAAAACCTTCTCTCCCATTACACTCAAACTTCTTATACCCTCCTTCCTCCCCTCTACCATCAGAAATCTCCTAAAACAATGTCGTCCCAAACTTTGTAGGCTTTCTCCTGACCATCACATAAATCTACTTATTCCTTTTGTCATTTCTTGGCTAAAGACTGTATATATATAAAGACTGATTACTGAATATCTATCTCCAGCCCAGAACTCTCTCCTGAGCTCCAGACCTGAATAACCTTACTCCCTCCAAAAACAAAAAATCAGTTTCCCATTTTTGTTCTCTCTGCTTCACCTCATCCCTTCTCTGATTAATCACCAAGGTGCATTGATTACAATTTCTAAATATTTCTGGAAGCTGTGCACTTTCCTCTATTTTAATTATCATGACCGATAGATCATATGTCTCCTGTATTACTTCAATAGCCTCTTCACTGGTCTGTCTCCAGTCTTGTCCCCTTCTAGTCCATTCTTTGTATTATAACTACAATGGTGAAAAGCTCAATCTTTTTAGTAGCTTTCCTTACTGGTCTTTGAATAGTCTGAACTCTTTACAACTCCTTTCATTATCCAGCCCATACTCCTCTCTCCAGGCTTATCTCTCATTATTCTCAACCCTGAAGTTTCCTCTCCACCAGTCCTATCCACAAACTATATGCTTAAACCATACTGTACTTTGTTCAGTCTCTCAAACATGCCCCTACTATTTTGCATGACTGCGATTCTTTCTTGACAACTCCCACATTTTCCACCCCAGCTCTACTTCAGCTGGCTAAATAATATTTATCCTCTGGTTTCACATTCCACATCACTTATTTAGGATATCACTGAGTAACTCCCACAACTAAACTATATATCCCTTCTGGATGCTATCATAATACTGTTACAAGAGACTTTTGTTTGGTGTTGTAATAGTCTATTTGCCTATCTGCTGTCCACAATGAATTGCACATTCCTTGAAGGCAATGATTATGTCTTGTTGACATTTTAGTATCAGCTAAATGCCTGGCATGGGGTAAGTACTCAGTAAATATTTACTGGATTAATGGATGAGAAGAGAAGATGGGCAACAGTCTATAAGATTAGAGGTCACTCTTCTTTTTCTCTTTCTATATTTTCCAAGTATTCTATGATGAAATGTATTGCTTTTATAACCAGAAAATAATAATATGCTTGAATTAATTCTAAAAGTATATTAAGCATACTTGAAAAAGAAAAAAAACTATGAAAAAAATCACGTATAACCCTACCACCTAAAGATAACTTGTTAATATTTTTTTGTATCCTTTCCAGTATTTTATATGGAGATATTTATATACTAGGGATTGAATCTGGGGTTGCTTAACTACTGATTTACATTCCCAGTCCTTTTATTTTTTTTTAATTTTGAGGCAAAATTGCTTGGAGCCTCACTAAGTTGCTGAGGCTAGCCTCAAACTTGTGATCCTCTTGCTTTAGACTGCCAAGTTGATGGGGGTGTACTTCCACCCCTGGCTCTATGGATATATTTTAAACATTGAGACCATATTGTGTTCTGTTTTGAATTCTGTTGTTTTCAGTTACACCAAAAGTAATTTTTCAGTTATATCAAGCAACAGTTGTTATTTAATCATTTCTCTGCTGTCCAACATTGAGGTTTTATTTAATTTTTATTTATTTGATTTTATTTAATTTTCCAGTATTATGATAAGGCAGAACAGAAATCTGTTCTCCCTCATTTATAACCATTTCTGTAGGATAGGATCCTAGAAGCAAATTTATGTTATGAACTTTTTAAGACTCAATGTATATGGTTGAATTGTTTTCCAGAAAGCTTATACTAATAATAGCTACTTGAGGATATCCTGTATTATATTCCTTTAGTCTGATTTTATTATGTTAATTTTACAGATGAGAAAACTAAGGTTCATTTATACAATTTATCTAGAGTCACCGACTTAACAAGTGGCAAAGCTAGAATTCTAATTTGGAATTGCTCAATTTCAAAGCTCATGTTATTTCCTTGTAGATTTCAAAAATAAGCATTTTTAATTAACAAATTATTACATATTTTCTAAAGAAAATATCAAAAAATCCAAGTAGACGGTAGAGAATATAAAAATATGTTACCTATGAGTCAACCACTTACAACAATTTAGTGAATTTTCTCAGACTTTTATTCCACATCCAATTTGGGGGTTAAAATAACTCTAATTTATGTATTTAATTTTGCATTTCATCCTTTTCAACTTACATTTTCCAGTACATTCCATATTCTTCATAAACATAATTTTAACAGTTACATATTATTGTTAAATGGGTGTTTCCATGTGAATTTTTACTGTTGTTCAGCTCACCTATGAATTTCTTCTTTTTATTCCCAGGACTCACCATCTCTCATGAGGCTTACAGAGTTCAATGTTGGGAACCATTCTCAAAATAAGCCACCATGTTGGATTTAAAGCTTCACAGTTTGAAAGCATTCCATCAAATACTTGCTGTGCAGATGTTTCAGGACTTTACAAATTATTTAATTTACTGACTGCTCTGCAGTTGGTAACAATAACTTCAAGCCAGTTTTTCTTCCTTTCCTATCCTCTCCCAATTGACAAAAGCCTAAATATAAGATATATATCTTTACATTCATCTTGTCAGGTAAAAGGGAATTCAGATGCCTTCTTTGGAATCTTTAATTCCCCCAGAAAAACTATTAGTTATATCTACAAGGGTCTTTTTGGTATTGGGGGCAATCAGCATACATTGGCTGCTTGGTGCATGTGCCTTTATAAACATGTATATGTGCAGCATATCTATACAAAATTCTGCTGTAAAGTTGTAAAAATCAAGGTTAAAAAAGCCTGAGGATTTATTAATCATGCCTTTTCCCTAAATAGCAATTTCAATATTTGCTGAGCTTTGAATCATCCATATATCAAATGTCTCAAATTTGAGAGGGAGATTCAATACACTATGATCAAGGTCCTCAAATTGAGAATCAAACAATAATGTAAAACCTGTTCTCTGTCACAGAGGTTCCTGGAAGCACCACAGCTAATAGAAAAGATCAGATCAGATCAGATCAGATTAGATCAGATCAGACTTCCATTTTATGAAACATAACAATTAGTGTTTTAAAGAGTTTTAATGTCAGGCTATGGTAAAATTCTCTAATTACTTTTATTCATTTCTCTGCTCTCTAGTTTTATTTTAGCTTTTATAAAGTACTGTTATGATGAAAGAAAAATTATAAGCAGCCTAAGTTATGGGCCATCAGTTTTGTAAAGGGTTTTAGGGTGATTTTCGGGTTTAATTACAATACTGTTCAAAGAGTGAAGTTTCACAGCTGACATTAGCCTGAGGATTAACTAAAGATCTGTATTTTCACAGCAGGGGTTAATGTACAGATAGTGATAACTGAACAGTAATATGCCAATCCCCTTTTTTTAAAGCCTCAGTGGTAGCTCAGCCATTAAGATAGTTTATATCCATTTCCCCATTTATTTATAATCAGCCTTTCTTTCAGTCCTAGTGCCTGAATCAATGAGTATGGACACTAATGCTGCTTCTTTATAATAATAATACCTAAGAGTATTGATGTTTTTCATTTTTCAACCAGCACTCTAGTGCCCAGCTGCTGACAATAAAAGCCCCAACTCTTATAGAGATCAGTGGGAGTTAGAGGCATCTTACAGATATCAAGGAATTGAGCTCCTTGTGGGATGGTTAAGTTCACTAAATTATCCTCCCTGAAATCTTTTTGAGTTAAAAAATAGTGTTGCCTATTACAAATAAATCAGTGTTGAGGCACTAATGCAACTGAGACAGTGAGCAATTCAGCTACATAAAGCAATGACAAAACCTGTTAATTTGGACCCCCTCTGTAATTTTGACCAAAGTGAGATTTTTAGCATAAAATAAATGGATTGTGGTCAGCGTTTCATTTGAGAATACTAGGCATTATTAAATCTATTTGGGCCAGGGGCCAGGGTCTGTTTCTTAAACTCAGAAGCTATGAAGCAGCCCAGAAGACTATGCACGCTAGATTTCATGATGAGATCTTACATGTTCAGATGGGAAGGTTTTTCCTTTCCACTCTTCTAGAACACTTTTATTGCTTAGGTTTCTCTTGAAAGCTTATTGGGCCATCCACATGGTTTTATGATGGACAAGTTTGCCTTCTATTCCTATACAAATGTAATATTAAATGGAGTACAGTGGGCCTCAAAGCAATCTTCCCCTTTCCTGTCTGTCATCTTCTGCCAAGAGTTTAGGCAGAGCAGCTACTTTCTATGATTTAGAGTCAGGAAAGGCAACAAGAACTTCTTTGATGCATAGATTGTATTAGCACTCAGCTCTCACAGAAATCAGGTCACAAAAGACAGTAAACTACAGGGAACCTCTGGAAGGGTAAAGCTCAGGGGAGCTATAATGCAAAACTGACTATTTAATGTCTTCAGAAGGCCAAATGATTCAGGGTTTTACCTGAAGGCTTGAGGAAAAAAAGAAACCTTATTCCTATGTTAGTACCTTGATCCCACTAGTTCATAGACTCTGATATTATCCCTATTTGTAGATCATAAGGGTATTGATTACTGTACATAGTCAAATATCTGGTTGATTATTGATCAAGAAGACAGTTTTTTGTTTAATAATTAGCACATGCTGACCTTGCTCCTTTGCTTTCTTTCCTTGGAGTCCTGCCCGATATCCTCTGTGGGATCTCATTTTCCAATTTCTGGTACTCTTCTCCCCCATTTGCAAAATGAAGATACACATTGTTAAGATCCTACAGCCAAAAGGTGCTATGTTAACTTCCTAGTGCTCTTATATGTCTTTAATTTCAGGACTGGAATGAAAAGTTTAACCATGACAGTATTTCTAAACAAACCAAGATGCTCCATTCTTTCTTCTATACTTTCATTGCTGATTTTTTATTGCATAGCTTAGAGTACTTTGTTAATGTTCTTCCATTTGTTCAACAATGTCTTTGGAAAGAGAATGTAAATTATTGTCCCACAATAGGGAAAAATAAATGTAAAATAGATGAAATGCTTCCCAAAAGCACATGGATGTGCTCACAGTCATCATGTCCAATATACAGAGTGATTTGGCTTCGTAGCACTGAAATCACCATGGAACAGCTTAGAGCAATTGGGACAGAAGTACATTCCAGAAGAGTTGCACTTTGTCCGAAATCTTAAGTAAGCAATGTATACAACTCCTATTTTCTAATGCACTATGTGCCTCTTTCCCCCATTGGCCCCATGTGACATGGCATCAGCCAGTGTCATAATCTCCTATGGCATCCATAAGGCCCAGTTTCAGGGCTGCTTTGCCAGAGAAAATAATGTGCTCCCCCATGTTTATGCCAAATTACATGAAGTGCAGACATTGAGGTTAATGGAGATTTAAGCACAATGCTAGCAGGTATGTTTTAAGAATATTGATTATACATTAATTTAATGTATACCTGAAATTTAACAAAGCCCCAATTCATAAGAATATGACAGTATCAAAGCATCTCTCTTTCATCTCCAATCACACATATCTACATAAACACGTATACACACACACACACACACACACACACACACACACTCCTTCCAAAGCAGGCTGCCTGGTCATCAGGAGCAAATACCTTAAAGGAGTGATTCTAATTCTAAAAACATGTCTAATAATCACAGAAAGTGAAGAACATTTCATGTATACATTCTAAAACCTCACTTTCACAGTGGCTGAGACTCAGTTGGTGTAAAAGATAAGTTCTATGCAGAGGCACAGAGAATATCTAACAAGATTGTCAGACCCTTTCACAAGTCCCATGTTCTCAGAAAATTCATGAGCTCCATCCAATCAGTAGGAAATGGTTGATGAGGTATGGTACATCCACATTTAACCATAGCTGCAATGTGCCATATTAAACTGTAGTCTTTTGCATGTGACTATTATGTAATATAATAATGAATGGGTGGCTCCTAATAGCATGCAGCCCATGACTTGTTTACTTCCCCAAAAGGGCTAGAGCTGTGTCCTGCACAGTGTTCAAAATCATTAAATGTGTTCTTTGGAGCAGCCTGGTACACAGCCATCAGCAGAATGAGTTAAAACATACAATGGATTCAATATATCAGGAAATAGATTCTTAGTAGGAAGTGGCATTAAAGGGAAAAAACAATAAGATAAGATGCATTCAAGGAATAATTGCTTTCACCCTGCTGGCTAAATCAGCAAAGGAACACAGCAGGAAAGCTGGGACTGGGTCTTGGTAATATGTGAAATGTATTGGAGAACCAGAAAAAGAAAGGCACTGGGGACCTCAGCAGTTAAGCTCAAGTTGCCAATTTGCTACAAATCCTTTTTTCCACCAATCTGTTCAAAGTGATTGTATATAGTATTCTTAAAACCATGTGTCTTGCTGCAGAAATACTGACAAATGCTGTCTAGCTTTATCTTCCTATGTCCTTATTAAAAGTATATGCATAAAATTTTTGTTTCTTTTCTATGTTATGGTTTTGTTAAACAACGTTGGCAAAGCCTGAAGTTTTAGACTGCTCCAATGGAAGCATATACGTCTCATGTCATGGTGTATAGTGAAGATTATTCATTCCCAGGCTGATTGGCATGTGTGGTATATAGACTCTTCTGTAACATCTCATCTTCTGAACACCCAGTCCCATGTGTTCAGTATTTCTCTCTTAGTTCCCACATGAATGTGAGTTGGAAAATTAACAGCAATGGCTTTTACATAGAAAGCTGACCAGTCTAATGACATTTAATCATGTTCAGTCTCTGCACAGTCTCACACATTTTTGTCTTTCACTCTGTCATTGTTGAGAACTAAAAAGAAAAAGGAGTTGTTAGGTGTCTAAGAATGATATGAACTATGGTTTGCTTTTTTTGGGGGGGGGCACAAGGGATTGAATTTAGGGGCACTTGACCACTGAGCCACAACCCAAGCCCTATTTTGTGTTTTATTTAGAGACAGGATCTCACTGCATTGCTTATCACCTCACTTTTGCTGAGGCTGGCTTTGAACTCGCGATCCTCCTGTCTCAGCCTCCCAAGCTGCTGGGATTACAGGTTTGCACTACTGTGCCTGGCTCTGGTTTGCTTTTTTTTTTTAAATAAATACATATTATACATATTTTCACTTGTTGATAGAACTTCATTTAATTAATTTGTTTATTTTTATGTGGTGCTGAGAATTGAACCCAGTGCCTCACACATGCCAGGCATGTGAGCTACCACTGAGCCACAGCCCTAGCTCCTGGTTTGCTTTTATAACACCAGAAATTATGTTTACTATTTATCTAGATGCATGTCACCTGAAAAAACATATAATGATCCTGAGAAAAGAACACTCTGGCCCACTTGCCTCTAAATCATACATTACTCTCAGAGAAATATTTGAAAATACCCTCAGTAAGTAATCCCCAAATAAGGTTTCCTGTGATAGATGTATTATTTGCACAAAAGTCCTTTACTGACAAAATGGAGAAATTCTCCAATTATCCAGCCAAGAAGGCAGAAGTCATTAGAAATGCAGAATATTGAAAACCAAAGTTTAGAAAAGTCATCTGTGACTATCTGACTAAATAATAATGGAGAACTTAAATCACTTAAGAGAGGCCAAACCCATAGAGATCAGGCTTAACACAAAACCTAAAAGAAATCTTTTATTCCAGTTAAGCTTATTTTAAAAAAAGTGCTTACTTTGTCTTAGGTAGAAACCTCAAATATCTCTGTTGAACATCCCTTTTAATATATTCTACTATATCAGCTACAAACAGCTTTAATTTGCATCACAAACAATGTAAAAAAGACATTCCTATCATACTAGAAACAAAGAACAACTAATTTCTGGATTTTAAAAAAGGCATAAAAGAAAAAAACCTTTGTACAATAATCTTATTTGAGTTAAAGTTACCAAGGAAATTCAAGGCATAGACATTTAAAAAGAAACTTTATAGATATTAAAAAGATATATGTATAAAGCTTTATACAGGAACATGTAAACATATTGACAAGCATTTTCTTCATGTTATAAGAAACAGAATTTTTCAAAGCTAATTTTCTCACCATATGCGGTGACATTGAAAAACTAGTCAGTTTCTTTTCGAATATTAAAATATTCTCACACAGTAGCACATTTCAGTGTTTAGACTACCAACTCTAGAGGGGTGGAAATTTTATGATAAAAAAAGTACATTTGGGGGCTGGGTATATAGCTCAGTTGTAGAGCATTTGCCTGGCATGTGCAAAGTCCTGGGCTAAATCCCCAATACCACCATCCCCCCCAAAAAAAGTATATTTGAAAAATCTTTTTCTTCATAAGCCTTAAATGAAGTACTCAAATCAATTTTACAAATGAGCACAATCTCAAACTCTTATCCTGACAATGCTCTAATATGTCTTGCTCTTGCATGTCTAGACTTTCAATGAAAACAAAACAGTTCACTGTACAGGGAAAACAAAAGTTTTACTATTGGAACAATAGGAATGTAGGTTATAAATTAGTAAAAAAAAAAAAAGAAAGAAAGAAAGCCATTAAGTTATTCTTACCAATCTAAGTCACACCTGGACAATTAGAGTATGTGGTTCCAAGGGAACAAATACAAATACAAACCTGAAATTGCTTTTGAGTCACAAAAACTATATGTATGTCAGACTACTGGATTCTGAGAGTTGAGGGTTCTATAAGATGTAAAAAATCAAGAGGGAGAAGCTGGAGTTGTAGCTCAGTGGTAGAGCACTTGCCTAGCAGATGTGAAGCACTGGGTTCAATTCTCAGCACCACATATAAATAAAATAAAGGTATGCATCCATCTACTAGAAAAAAGTATTTTTAGAAAAACAAAAAGGAGAGCTGGAGTTATGGCTCAGTGGTAGAGCACTTGCCTAGCATATGTGAGGCACTGGGTTTGGTCCTTAACACCACATATAAACAAATGAATAAAGGTATTTTTTTAAAAAAAAGAGAATAGCAAGATGAGATAGGAAATAATATTGTTAACCTATTTTCCTTGATTGTCATTTCCTCTAAATTGTGAAGCCTTCTATTTTTTAGATAAGTATTTTCTTTTTTATTTATTGTTTTTTAATAAATGACAGTGGAATGCATTACAATTCTTATAACATGTATACCGCACAATTTTTCATATCTCTGGTTGTATATAAAGTATGTTGACACCAGTTCATACATGTACTTTGGATAATAATGTCCATCACATTGCACCATCTTTGCTAATCTCCTGCCCCCTCCCTTTCCCTCCCACCCCTCTTCCCTATCTGGAATTCATCTATTCTTCCCATGCTTCCCCTCCCTACCCCACTATGAGTCAGCCTCCTTATATCAGAGAAAACATTTGGCATTTGTTTTTTGGGGATTGGCTAACTTCACTTAGCATTATCTTCTCCAACGCCATCCATTTACCTGCAAATGCCATGATTTTATTCTCTTTTATTGCTGAGTAAAATTCAATTGTGTATATATGCCTCATGTTTTTTGTATCCATTCATCCACTGAAGGGCATCTAAGTTGGCTCCACAGTTTAGCTATTGTGAATTGTGCTGCTACCTTGCTCTTGAATAGGCAGAATTAATATTATCACAATGACCATACTACCAAAAGTACTATACAGATTTAATGCAATTCTGATCAAAATCCCAATGGCATTCCTCATAGAAATAGAAAAAGCAATCATGAAATTCATCTGGAAAAAGAAAAGACCCAGAATAGCTAAAGCAATCCTCAGCAGAAAGAGTGAAGCAGGTGGCATCACTATACCAGACCTTAAACTATATTACAGAGCAATAGTAACAAGAACAGCTTGGTATGGGCACCAAAATAGACTGGTAGACAAATGGTAAAGAATAGAGGACACAGAGACTAACCCACAAAATTACAGTTATCTTATATTAGACAAAAGTACCAAAAACATGCATTGGAGAAAAGAAAGCATCTTTAACAAATGGTGCTAGGAAAACTGGAAATCCATATATAGCAAAATGAAAGTAAATCCCTATCTCTCACCATGCACAAAACTCAACTCAAAGTGGATCAAGGACCTAGGAATTAAACCAGGGACCTTGTGCCTAATAGAAGAAAAAGTAGGCCCTAATCTTCATCATATAGGATTAGGCCCCAACTTCCTTAATAAGACTCCTATAGCGCAATAATTAAAACTAAGAATCAATAAATGGATGGAATCAAACTAAAAAGTTTCTTCTCAGCAAAAGAAGCAATCTGTGAGGTGAACAGAGAGCCCACATCCTGGGAGCAAATCTTTACCCTTCACATATCAGATAGAGCACTAATCTCCAGGGTATATAAAGAAATCAAAAAGCTAAGCACCAAAACACACACACACACACACACACACACACACACAACCCAATCAACAAATGGGCCAAGAACTTGAACAGACACTTCTCAGAAGAGGATATACAATCAATCAACAAATATATGAAAAAATGCTCATCATCTCTACCAGAGAAATGCAAATCAAAACTACTCTAAGATATCATCTCACTCCAGTCAGAATGGCAGCTATTATGAAGACAAAGTGTTGGTGAGTATGTGGGGAAAAGGGTACAATTGTACATTGCTGATGGGACTGCAAATTGGTGCAGCCAATATGGAAAGCAGTATGGAGATTCCTTGGAAATCTGGGAATAGAACCACCATTTGACCCAGCTATCCCTCTCTTCGGACTATACTCCAAAGACTTAAAAACAGCATACTATATATAGGTATTTTTAGTTGATAAAATTTGCAGTTTAGTCAAGAGTCACATTAATTCACCTCTGCTACAACTATCCTATTAGCTGAGTAATCCAGAGATGACTTCAGAATTACAACCACTCTGATTATCTTAACAGAAATCACATGGAGCACCTATTTCTAAACATTTTTAGCTACTTTTATTTATCATGAACATAGGAACTTTTCTACTTCTTATTCATCTTAAAGTTTCAGACAAACTCAGTTCAGCCAAAGTTATCAAAAACAACTTTGCATTAATATGACTGTTTTGAAAGAGTGCAGACACTACTGTCGTGGTTGATCAATTTAAAAATGAATTTATTATGTGCAGTCTTTCTAGTGCTGTCCAATCAAGCTTTTCTTTTCTTTCTTTTATTGGTCAGGGGGAGGCTGGTACCAGGGATTAAACCAGGGGCCTTTAACCACTGAGCCATATCCATATCATTTTTAAATGTTTTTAATTTTGAGACAGAGTCGAAGTTGCTTAGGTTCTAAGCTATTGAGGCTGGTCTCAAAATTGCAATCCTCCTGCCTCAGTCTCCTGAGTTGCTGGGATTACCAATATAGTTTTAAATAGACTTTTTCATAATAATTTTCGCTGCCAAAAGTTATCATCTTTGTGAACACTGTTGACAAGAAAGAAAGGAGGAATAGGAAGGAGGTAGGAAAGAAGAGAGGGACAATATTTAAAATCATTTGAGGGCTGGGGATGTGGCTCAA